ACAAGAGGTAGCCTACTGAATGGGAGAAGTTATATGCAAATGATACACATGATATAAAGAACTCTAACAATTCAAGAGAAAAGAAATGAACAACCTGATTAAAAAACGGGCAGAGGATCGGAACAGACATCTTTCCAAGAAGATATTCAGATGGCCAATATGCACACGAAGAGGCGCTCAACATCGCTAATCATGAGGGAAATGCCAATCAAAACCACAGTGAGATACCGTCTCTCATTGGTCAGATGGCTATTATCAAAAAGACAACAAAGAACAAGTGCTGGCGAGAATGTGGAGGAAACGGAACCCTGCGCGCTGGTGATAAACTAGTGCAGTCACTATGAAAAAGAGAAAGCAGGCTCCTCAAAAAATTAAAAACAGAACTACCATATGATCCAGCAATTCCACCCCTGGGTATTTAACTGAAGAAAACAAAAATGCTAATTAGAAAAGATAAATGCACTCCTACGTTCAATGCAACATTATTTACAAAAGCCAAGATATGGAAACAATCCATACTCATCAATAGAGAAACAGATAAAGATGATGTGCTTCATATATATACAATGGAATATTACTCAGCCATAACAAAAGAATGAAATCTTGCCATTTTAACAACCAATGAACTAAAAGGGTATTATGGTAAGTGAAATGAGTCAGAAAGAGAAAGGCAAAATCTGTATGACTTCAACTGTATGTAGAATCTAAAAGACAAAGCAAATGAACAAACCTAATGGAACAGAAGCAGAACCAAATACAGAGAATGGGGGGGCGGGTGAGGGGTGTTGCAAGAGTAGAGGGAATTAGGGGGAGGAAAGGACTACGTGAGGGAGATGAACAGGAACAAACTTCTAGTAAGAAAATAAATGAGTCAAGGGTACGAAGTGCACCATGTGGGAAATACAGTCAATAGTGATTAATATCTTTGTATGATGAAATAGCATAACCAGACTTATACACTATGAAAAGCACAAAAATACCAAATCATTATGTTGCGTACCAGAAACTAACATAGTGTTGTAGGTCAATTATACTTCAAACTCATAAAAAAGAGATCAGATTTGTGGTTATCGGAGGCCAGGCAGGGGGAGGTAGAATTGGATGAAAGCAGTCAGGAAGAGAGATGTGTGAAAAATCTGAATGCTCACTGTACTAGATAGACTACATATGCCTTCATCACAGACTAGCCAAGTCCAGATCTGTTCCCAGGGTTCTAGCGCCTCTGCCCTGGTTGATCTCATAGCTATGACAATTTTTTTAAAAAGAAAAGCCACTTCTTCACTGAGGAAACAGTGTTTCTTTAGATGTAAGCTGCAGCCTGATTCACTTTCTACATTTCCTGCCTTACACATTTTTCACCTGACATTTTAAAAGGAAAAAACACCTTGCAATGTTTCCAATAATGGATTTCTGTTGTTAACTGTCTTGTAATTTCAAATTTGTCATTGTTTGACATCAAGCTTACATAAATGATTTAAATGAAATAGGATCCTCAGAACTGCCTGGATGTTAAAGTTGTATAAATTTCAAATTCCCAACAAATCACTATTGTTTTCTACATGTTCAAATTAAAATTGAACATGTCCATTATTTTCAATCGTAAGTAACTCATTTCCACACCACCCAGGACTAAGATGAGAGCGAACTGAGATAAGAGAAGAAAAGGTAATGTACAAGGAACAGCACAGTGTAACGGAAGGAGCCGTGGACTCTGGGCCTGCTGCGGCGCGTGGCCAGTCCTGTCTGGCTGTGTGACCTAACTGTGGAGACAAGTGCAATGACCTCCGGGTCTTCCACGATGAGAGAGAATACACATCAACCTAGACTTCACAGAGACACTGGAAAGGTAACCCCATCCAAGAGATGACTTAAGGTGCTGCCGCTACATCATATACTCCAGATGACCCCGGACTGATCTTTTTAAAGTGCTAGTACTAGGAAGTTCTCTTTACTCAGGTGCTCCACTGAGGACCAGCCACGCAGCAGGCTTTGTGCTAGGTGTTGAGGAGGACTAGAGAAGAAATCAACATTAAGATGTTTCTAATATGTTCTACATACTTGTAACTCAACTGGAGAAACCAAGTATACGTAATGATTGCATCATTTCTAGGCGCCAAAGTGGGTGCTTCAAACAAGGCTATGGATCAATCGTTCTAACTTTCAGTCCTCCTGTCCATTAGATCCTAAGTGCACTGTTAATGAATCCTAAGAGACAGGACGTGCAAACCCATATGGACATCTGGGGTCTAGTCCCTGTGACAGCCGACTGTTAAAGGAGCTCAGTGAAGAGACAGACATGGGGGGAAAGCCTCACAGAGAACAGGAGTTATCTGTTAAGTACGCTGATTGCGTCTATACTCTGTCACTCCTTATAATAATGATACTGTGAAGCAGAAACCTTCCCGTTTTACAGACTAAATCCCATTTCAGGGAGAGTAAGTAACAGGGTCAGGACACAAAGCAGCAAGGGAATGTAAGTCTGCTGCGACTAAAAAAGCTTGTACTCCCTCAGCTCTACCACAGATGTGATCAGTAGGTACACAGACGGGAGAGAGGAAGACCTTCTGGACACGAAGATCAAAATAAGACCAACCTGGAAGTAAAAAGAGGGTGGCCAAGTCTGGTGAAATGAGAAACAAAAGGCACTGAGCAGTTATGGGAAATAAGGTTAGGGGACAGACTGTGAAGAGGCAAGAATATAGGTGGCTAAGAAATGTGGATGGACTTAATCCTATAGGTCAATAAAATGGAACTGGAGACTGTAAGCAGGAGAGCAGAGGATGAAATGCAAGCATTAGGAAGGTGAGCATCATATGACAGAGATGGGCTGGAAAAAAAATGTACGGCATAACAAAAAACAAACTGTTAAAATCCCAAGCACATCAATATTTAAATAAACCCAGTAATAATATTTTCATTATAAAATAATCATACTATCTTTTGTACAGATCTCTTAAAACACATCTCTAGGCACTTTAGAAAATGACCATTGTGTCCCACTAATTCTTATGTGGGACAGAAACCATTTCCACCTCCAATGCATAAAAAAAAAAAAAAAAAACCGACCTCAGGTCACATTTTAAAATTACGCCTCAGAGCAGCAAGAGCCAAAGAGAAGAAATAAAAGCAGACTCCAACACACACACACCCCTTGACAAAGAAAAACAAAGTTGTACCTTTCCAAAAATAAAAAAGTTGTATCTTCATTTACAGAAGCACTTAGAACTATTTTTGCAAGCAGAAAAAGTTAAGCAGTGACAAATTGGAGCATGACTTTCATATAACCCCAGATTTGCTTTTTCACCAAACATTTATAGTTTCCATTTCTCACAAAAGTCAATACAGAAGCATCAGCATCACCATGTAAGTGCCAAATTTCCTTTCTCTTTTATGGCTACAGAGCCCCACCCCGCACCCCGGCATTTTTTTTAAGGTCTGGGGACTGATGCATTCACTGCCTCCTAGACAGTTATCGCTCTAAGTCTCAAGTTCTCCGTCCCATTCAATCTTGGCCACAGGAAAATTCAACCTCATTTCATAACCTAATACTGAGCTGCAATAAAGCCAAGGCTCCAAACTGCTTCAACACAACTGACGCCTGGTGTAGGGTCACAGTAAACCCTTCAGCGCTATCAGGTAGACAACAATAACCTAATAGCCAAGACGGCCCACGTGACACCAGTCTGGCCAGGACCAGAGTCAAAGACAGCTCGCTAGACTCAATTAACCAACAAGGATCACCTTGCAAAGGAGAACCTGGAGAGTGTGTGCAGCTGGGGTTTTCCAAGGGAATTAAGAGTCAAGAGACTGTGGCAAGGTGGGGGGCGGGGAGCAGCTGAGGAAGAAGTAATCATCTTTTACTCAAAACATCTGATGTGGACATGACCTCACTTCCAATTCTGCAGCCTTAACCTTTATCTGAACCTTCCAGAAAGTTAAGTGAGCCTGAGATTCTGTGAGCATAGGAAGTGTCCAAACCACATCTTTCTGTCCTCCTTTCCCTGTAGAGGAAATGTGATATCTCTGCTTAAGTCCCAAGATATTTTAACTTATTTAAGGATAGATAAGCTTCTGGAAAATTACATTTGCTTCTGCTGCCCAAGACATTCTGAGGTACCAATCACTGGATTTTCAGTCTAGAGATAAAATATTAAGACACAAAGTGAGTAGAACAAAGTTATTCACAGACAAGCAAAGTGCAGGGGATGATGGTAACGCTAAGGGAAATACACGTTACTGCTTTTTAATCCAGGACAAACCTCAAACCCTACAAACACCTAATTCATAACTCTTTAACAACCAGAGCCTATTTTCTCAAAGCCTCGAGAGCTTGGCTTTACCGAAAACTCCATCTGCAGAGCCAAAAATTCTCGACAGTAGCCCCTGGCTGTCAACACGGACTTAGGAATCTGCTTTATACTTGGGCGGGATAACATTTAGAGCCAAGTAGACATTTTTAGGACCGTAAGAGTACTGACTTGTACTTTTAAAATTTTCCTGCAGTCTAAAGACTGGTCGGGAAGACGTCAATGGCCAGCTAGACCAGGTTTATCCACTCGTGTGTGCGACTTTAAAATGCTACCATGGGCCCCTGAAACAAGAAAAAAAAAAAAACTTTTTCTCTCCTAAGCAATAAGGATAGACGCCACCTCTGCAAAAAAAAAAAAAAAAATGGGAAGGAGGGCGGCCGGAGGGCTGCATGCTAACGCCGAGCCCTGCGAGCAGCTCTGCGCCCCCGCCGCAGGCGCTGAGGCGGAGTCCAGCGGAGACAGGCTGGCGGGACTGTCGCTCCCGGGCCTGTGGCGACTCCGGCAGGGACCCAGGGGCGGCCGCGCCCGGCCAGAAAGGCGGGGAGCGCGCGGGACTCTCACACCCGCCCCCCCGCCCCGGGCGGGGACTCAGGAAGCCTCCCCGCGGCCGACCGCCGACACCTGCCCCCCACCGCACCTCGCTGCCCTGCAGGCCCCCTCGGACTACGGCCCCTGGCCCGCGGAACTCACAGCTTCAGCTGCTCGTAGGTCGTGGCCGCCATCCTGCACCACAGCCTCCTTCCTCGGTTTCCGACCGCGCCGCCCCGCGCCGCCCCCTCGGCTCCGGCGCTACCGGTCACCCTCCTACAGCGGCCGCAGGTCCCAGCCTCTTCCCACCGCCCCGCCCCTCGAGGCTGAGGGAGAAAACGGGACGCGGCGGTGGACAAACCTAGTGCGCGCGCACTGAGCGCCACAGGCGCACATTCCGACGCGACGCCGTGGGAGGGCGAGGACGAGCGCGGTGACGTAGCGGCTGAGGATTGGCTGAGCGCGTTGGCTGGGGAGAGGCGGAGCCTTGGGAGCTTGTAGACCTGAACCGCACAGCGCCCCGCGCAGCGGCGGAAATACAACGCTAGTGTCGTGGAGCCAGTCGTTAGGTGCGTAAGGCGTGATCTGTGCTCCAGTGCAAGCCTATCTTGTACAGGGCCAGTGGCGCAATGGATAACGCGTCTGACTACGGATCAGAAGATTCTAGGTTCGACTCCTGGCTGGCTCGGGGTGTACTTTTTGTCATGTCTGGGCTTGATGTTAACAGGGTGTCCTTAGAAAGGGTTGGTGAAAAGGGTGAATGTCTCGAATCTTAAGGTTTGTGTTGCTGTTCATTTGCTAAATCGTGTCCGACTCTTGGCGACCCTATGGACTGTAGCAGGTCGGTCTCCTATGGCCTCCAACATCTCCCGGAGTTTGTTCAAATTTATGTCCATCGATTCAGTGATGCTATCTCATCCTCTGCTGCCCCTTTTCCTTTTGCCTTCAGTCTTTCCCAGCATCAGAGTCTTTTCCAGTGAGGCAGCTATTCGCAGCAGGTGGCCAGAGTATTGCAACTTCAGCATCAGTCCTTCCAGTGGATATTCGGGGTTGATTTCCTTAAGCCTGCTCTGTCCGAAATGTCATCTGTTGAGCTGGGTTTGGACCCCGGAGTTGTCTCAGGTGGTTTGTAAATTGCAAAGTGCCCTAATTAATGATACACACGAGGAGACTCTGTAAACGGGGTACATTTAGGAAAACACAGCTAGGATGGTGGTGGGTAGGGGGTGTGCTGTGGCCGGAGGTTAGATAGCGGATGACACAACTGCGCATTTCCAGTGGAGCAGAAACCCCCGCGGCGACGCGAAGAGCCGTGCAGTCCGTTTCCCGGGATCCGGCGAGCTCTAAGCTGCAGCGGAGGCGGGAACGCTGCAGTGCGACTGCGCGCGTTGGCTGGGGGTCCGCGAAGTGCTCGGGGTCTGCAGCCCTGTCCTTTCAGAGGGTGTTTTTACAGTACCAAGACCCCGGGGAATCTAATTTATTACAGCTCCTTTTGAAGGTCTGTGTTGGAAAGGAGAGTGAAACCTGAAACGTAACATCTGACACTGTCCATTCACTAATCATTCAATCGATCAGTAGTAACTCTCCAATACGTTTTTTCCTCCTGAAGAAATTACAGGACATTTGTAAAATACAGAAAAGTACTGGGAATTAAAAAAGAAAGTCCGAATTCCCATCACGAGATCATATTAACGTCATGTTAACGTCATAATCTCTCATTACAATCAGCGTCATAATTTTTTCTTACGGACTTCTTTTTCCATATTTTTTAATATAAATAAACCTATACACGTATTTTTTCCAAATCCTTTTAATTGAAGGATAATTGCTTTACAGAATTTTGTTGTTTTCTGTCAAACCTCAAGTATTTTTTCCAAATTTGAGATTAACAAATGTCTTTGTGTTCTTCTTGTTCCCTTAGCTTTCATCTGAGATTTATGGTCATTAAATATTCCTTGAAGATAGGCCATGAAAAAACTAGATATTTTAAATATTAACCTTTTTGTTGGGAATTTGGGTTGTCAGTTTAATACTTTTTAAGAAATAATGCTGTTGATTTATTTCTGATATGTCTTAAAATTTTTTAGATGTTGAATGATCAGACAGACATTTTTAAGGTCCATTTCATGGATGTTTTTAAGACTGGTACATACTTTCACATTGCCTGCCAAAAAACTAGATACCCATTTCCATCAATAGCATCAGTTTCCTTGAATGCTAATGAGTATTATAAATTTCATTATTTTTTGCAATTTTCATAATTGAAAAATGGAACTTCCTTTTGCTTATATTTATTACTTGGTGTATATATTTTATCTTGATATATGTACTAATTTTCTTCTTAATAGATTTGTTGAACTTTTAAATATATTAAGGATTTTAATTCTTTAGCTGTCAAACACATTGCAACATTTTTAGTTTATTTACATTTTCCTGTTCCTTTTATTTTTGCACCTCCAGTAATTTTCACTTTTATATACTCAATAATTACCTTACGATTTTTTCTTTTCAAATTGTTTTGTTTGTATTGCTTTCTTTCATGTACTTTGATCCATTTGTAATTTATTTTGTTGATTGTCCCCATGGAAAGATCAAGTAAGTCTTCAGACCTGTAACTTGAGCAGTATCTTCCCTGATAGCTCAGATGGTGAAGAATTTGCCTGCAATTCAAGAGATTTGGGTTCAAGCCCTAGGTTGGGAAGATCCCCTGGAGAAGGGATCTTCTCCAATATTCTTGCCTGGAGAATTGTCCAGGCAAGAATACTGCAGTGGGTTGCCATTTCCTCCTCTGGGGTATCTTCCTGACCCAGGGATCGAACCTGCATCTCTTGAGTCTCCTGCAGTGGCAGGCCGATTTTTTACCACTGAGCCAGTGGGGAAACCTTTACTTGGACTAATTCAGTCGATTCCATAATAGTCCCATAAGTTAAGTTCGGTTGTTATAGCCATTTTCACAGATGAGGGAACACAATTTGCTTACATTCATTGAGCAGTTAGGTGGTAGAGCCTGAGTTAGATCTCGAATCCGGGCTTTTGATCCCAAAGGTGCCCTGCCCAAGGCTTCCTCTGCACCAGAGGGCTGACCACATGAGTAGACTCAGGGTCATTCCCTCTCTGCTCATGGATGGCAATCACATATGCTCCTCACCCCTTCTTCCATGCGAGAGCAACCAGGAGACCTCATCTCGTCCTGGGCACAGCCCAACCCAGACGTTTTCCCCAACTACATCTTCATCCCCTGTAGCGTCAGTTGTAGAAAAACAGCAGCCTACGTCTGTAAAGTTGGAATAGCCACTCTCGTTCCTTGCCCCTTCCCCTTGCAAGACCTGCCTTCCTGCACATGTCTGCCTTAAATCTAGAGGGTCACTCACCTCTGGGATTCAATATCCTGTGATAAACCATAATGGCAAGGAAAAAAAACACCCCAGAGCTCTAAAAGACCAAATCCCGTTAGCAAAAAACACCATCTACTTATTACTCCACACACAGAAAAGAAGATCCAGGAAACATCATTATGGTGGAGATCACTTTAATAGTCTACAAATTAAGGCAGTTTATTGTCATGAGATTTTGAATAGTTTTACAGTAACAGTAAAAAATTTTGAATAATTTTATCATAACAATCTTTTGAATAATTTTATAGTAACAATATTCTGAATAATTTTATAGTAACAGTAAAATTATGAATAATTTTACAGTAACAATATTTTGAATCAAAGTAAAAGAAGAGACACAGGGAGGGGACAATGATTTCTCTGCCAAGTGAATTTTTCATCCACTCTATGGAAATTTCCCACATCTGTCCAGTTCTGGCTCAGAACAAATGATAGCTAACACATCTTCCTCATCTTTTTCCTATAGCTTTTAAAAGTTGTTAATACTTCAGATAGTAACTGGGAAATCAGGACTCGTTCCTGGCACAAAGGAGAAGACAAAGCATGTGGTTTCCTGGCCCATGGTTTGAATAAGTTCATCAGACAGCAACAGTTTGGGGTCAAGTCTTGCACACGTTCTTTGCAATTGCACCAGCAGCCATCATAGCCCTCCTAAATTTTCACACTTGTAGGAACCAGCACATAAACATGGCCTGCAAAGAAGTGTGAATTCCAGATCATTCTTCAAATTCTAACATTATTCTTTTGCATCGTGGGTGACTCGAGCCCAGGGAAACAAGCCAATGGCAGGACCTGAAAGCGATCGGAACTCTTTGATTACATCACTGGCCGCCCAGGACTCAGGAGTGGACTCGGCTGAAAGCGGTTTTCACTCAAGCGCTATAACCACGGAGAAGCAGTCCTGCCACCACATGCAGACAATGACCCAACAGGACTCAATGCCCTTCCTTATAAAAAATGAACAAATCACTTTCTACTCAGCCATGGATGGGAAGATAACAGCAGAGAGAATCCTGATACTATAGGCCCAACTGGCTTTGCTCAGGGCACCCAGACAGTCTTTGAAAGACCCTAGCTGGGGTGGAAAAAATGATAAGAAAAAAAACTAAGGGGCAAAGTGAAGCAAGGGGCAAGGTTGGAGGCTGGCTCTGGGGTCTGGAATCAGCCATAATTCTTGTTTTATCTAAAGTCGAAACTCAAAATAGGGCTATCTGCTCTACCTTTTGAAACAAACTTATTCTTCCTAGTCTAGGAAGCGCTTGTGTATTTTGCGTGTGTGTGCTAAGTTGCTTCAGTTGTGTCCGACTCATTGCAATACTATGGACTGTAGCCCGCCAGGCTCCTCTGTTCATGGGATTCTCTAGATAAGAATTCTGGAGTAAATTGCCATTTCCTCCTCTAGGGGATCTTCCTGACCCACGGATCGAACCTGGGTCTATTATGTCTCCTGCATTTGGCAGGTGGATTCTTTACCACTAGTGCCACCTGGAAAGCCCATGTTCTTTCTACACACCTATAAATAACTACCCATTACAGCTTGATTTGGTTAATAAATTATATAAAGTTTAAAATACCTGGTAAGTGTGCATCTATTCATGGCTTTTGTGCAAGGGCCTGAGGAGGAGACAGAACTGGCACAAGATTCCTACCCAGTACCCTCTCCAGGGGAACCTGATAATAAGAGAAGCTGCTGCTCAGATTTCTAGAATGTCTAAAATTCTGTTACTGTTCTTTTCTTCCTCAATGGTATGAAATATTTGCTGAGATACCAAAATTGCCTCAGTCGAGTCCACTTTAAAATTTTCATTTCAAAAATCAATCACTGGTTTTTAAACAACAGTTGCTCTTCAAACAACCCTAGGATTAATCCTCATATAACTTACAGTCAGCCGTCTGTAACCATGGTCCCCCTGCATTGTGGATTCAACCAACCACAGATTGTGTAGTGCCGACTGCCGTATTTAACTACTGAAAAAGAGCCACGTATCAGTGGACACAGGCAGTTCAAACCTGTGTTGTTCAAAGGTCAACTGTTAACCAATTTGCAAACAAATCCTCTACTTCTGACGTGGCTCCAAGGCAGTTTTCTTTGCTCTGCTTGACTTGAAAGTGGAGCAAAGGCCTGTCATCAAGGCCAGAAATCAACCTAGGTTGGCCGAGGCAGGTTAAGACATACTGACTGGCTCCATCTGTCCACCAGCCTCACCGAGGCTGAGCTGGATGATGTACTGGGAAGGGAGGGGTGACCCCAGGGTTCGCTTCCCCAGCCCGCCTACACTCACGGGTTTTTAAGAGGCTCAGCCTGTGAAAGGGAACCAGTGGAAGCAAACATCACAGCCTGGGTTGAAGAGACATCTGGCCAAAGCATCCCAGCGGAATGAAATTAACCGAAATGGAAAAGACAAGCCACGGCCAGTTCCGTGCTGCTTACAGGCAGCTGCCACCAAATGAGCCAAAACATGGCCTAGAAGTACAGTAGGGCCAGTGAATAGCCTGTGAGTCCCTTGTGCCTTTGGGTTCCACGGACACCCTCCGAGGTCCCAGCCACCCAATCCCTGACTCTGGGTGTGAGGCCAGGAGGCAGAGAGCAGCCGCCGGCCGCTGTGTTCCCGGCCGGGCTGGCAGCAGTGAGATGACCCCTGCCTTCTGGCAGCAAGGCCCAGGGCTCCTCCCCATGGGCTGAGAGGGTGAGTGCCAGCCAACCTTTTTCTTCCACTTTCTTCTCATTGAAATACCAAAGGGTACTGACCTCTGGCCTCAGGCGTGTGACACACAGGGCGGACTCTGGCCTTGAAATCCTGCCAGGGTGTGGCCCTTAGGCCTGGCCACCCTGGGGGAACCAGGATGATGCAGTGAATAAGCAAGAGTACCCAGTGTCAATCAGATCTGTCCCCAGCTGACCCTTAGCTGTGATTCAGTGTTCTGACCCCCTGGGCTGACCTGGGCGAAGCCAGAGATTCCTGACATACACTGGCTGCGTCCAGCGTGATGGCTGAGTCCCTCCTTAATCTGAAGCTCTTTTCTGTGAGGTATTTTTTGTGTGTGTGGGAGACTGAAAGTAGAGGGAAACAACTTGTTTAAAAAGAAGGAAAAAAAAAAAAAACAGACAAAAGCAGTGTACCTTAAACTGGTTTCTTCAGATGTAATGCCTGGGCCAAGAACTGGGCGAGAGAGAAACCTGTGAAATGGATATAATAACTTAAGCTGATTCTCTCTCCCAGGCTGGCTTTGAGATCGCACACACACACACAGTCTCCTCGTTTATAAGGGGCTAGGTCTTAGTACATGCGGGCACCCTTTCCCAAAGCCCATGTTAAATAAGCGAAACACAAGACGATCCCCACAGAAGATCCTGAGTCCTGCCTTTGCAGGAGCAACTCTGAAGTTCCAGACTCTCGAGAGCTCCAGAGGGAAAAGGGCAAACAGGCGGGCAAAAGAGGCCTGGCGCCCGCACCAAGTTCTCATCCCAAAGCCCACTTGGATAGAACAGGGTTGACCTCCGTCAGACCCCCCGGCTGCCTTTAAAGGCATGAGGATCTGCAGGGGCACCAGAATGCTATCCAGGTACGAGGAGGAAATTCCATCTCATTTCAAATCTTGGTTCTGCTTTAACCAAGTGAATTCCTCCTAAGATGCAGAGCACATGTTAGAACTTCCCTTTTGCAAGGATGCAATTAAAATTTGCAGCCATTCTACAGAAGTGAAGCTCTGGAGTGGAAGTCTTAAATTATGGTGTGGCGGGGGGGCGGTGTTTGGATGTGTGTGTATGCGGTTGGGAAGGGGTGTTTGTGGGGGCGGCGAGGGGGTGTGTGTGTTTGGGAGGGAGTGTGTGTGTGTGTGTGTGTGTGTGTGTGTCTGGGAGGGAGTGTGTGTGTTTGGGAGGGAGTGTGTGTGTCTGGGAGGATGTGTGTGTGTGTGTCTGGGAGGGTGTGTGTCTGTGTGTGTGTGTGTGTCTGTGTGTTGTGGTTGGGAGGGGATGTTTGGGTGCAGGTATTTCCCAAAGCGGAGGGAAAGGACTGAACACACTGGCAGCTGAAATCTCTCTCCAGAGCATGCACTGAGTGCAAGTCTCTCCCTCTGAAGCATGAGCCCCTCCAGAAAGGACAGGAGGGTTCACTCGGTCGCGTTACTGAGATCCGTCACATGCCACGCACTTGCCGGGGTGTCTTCCTGAGTCGTCTGATGAGGGTGTGGCAGCGGAGAAAGGCACTTGGAAAATACACAGTCCCAGACCGGCAGGGATCCCCTCCCTGGTTCAAGGAAAGGCACCCCTGCACACATGCAGGAAATCACCTGCCTCCCCCGGCCCGCCCGGCCCCAATCCCACCCCAGGGGTGACTGGAGTGAACTCGTGGGCTTCTCAGGGTGCAGCCCTGGCTCCTTGTCTGGCCGTGAGATCTGCGGGAGGCTCTGGCTAGAAGTGGTGCTGGCGAAGGGCTGCGGGCGAGGGGCCCTTCTCCAGCCTCTTGACATGGCAGGAGTGGCAGAACAGGTGGTCCTCCAGCGGGTAGCATCGGTGACCGTCTTCATCATTGAGCTCCAGGCCGCAGTCCTGGAGTGAGGCAAAAACACGCAGTGGTGGCAAAACAAAAAACAGACTGCAAGAGATCCTGTATGCCTTCTGATTTCAATACCTTCAGACCATGAAATTTTTGCACCTTGTCTTACATCCCTGGATGTGTTCCAGTGTCTCCTGGTTTATAGTCTGTGGGAACTTGAATAGAACTTGTATCCTGCTGTTGCATGAAAATTGTATAAATCTTATGCTGAATTGGTTCACAGTGCTTTTCAGGTCTACTCTATTTTTCTACTTTTCTGTCTATTCTGTTAATTTTTGAGAGTTTGATACTGAAATTCCAACTAAAAATTCTTAATTTATCTACTTAAAAGTTGTAATATATAGTGGAACTATATGTAACTTTGATCTACATTTTCCAAGTCTCCTATAAATGTCTTATCATACTTTCATAGTTACATAATTACAATAAATAAACAGATTGCAGGAGTGACATGAAGGCGACACACAGACCCAGAAACCATCAGAGCGTGCTGTCTGACTCTGTCTGGGCAGAAAATGCCAGCACAGAGACGCAGCTCCAGCCTGCCCAGGGAGGGTCTGGACTGTGCTCTTTGACGCCTGAACCACTGGCCACAGGAAGCTCTCAGCAGTTGCAATGGTGCTGCTCGGAAATGAGATGTCATGGCAGGGCCAACACAGACCAGATTTCTAAAACTTAGGATGGAAAAAGGATATAGAATAGCTCCGGAAGAATCCTTTATCTAGACTGTGCGTTGAATCAATCACATATTGGATATATCAGTTCAGTTCACTAGCTCCGTTGTGTCTGACTCTGCGACGTGAATAAAAGCACAGTCCAGCGAGTGCCTCAGTGTTTTTCTCCAGCACCTGGGGTACCACTGACACTGATTCCCACCTATTTCTTCAGTGCTGGCAGTGGGGTCAAGCTGTATGTCCCCCACACTTGCTGTCCTCCCTGCCCACAGCTCACAAAATAAATCACTCCTTCTGTGGGTGAGTCCACTTAATTCTGGCTGAAACTCCACAGGCACTTTCATCATTTGTGTCCTTCACAACCCCCGGCCCTCCTGACAGTGATGGGGCACCGGTGACTCCTTCAGCCTGGGGTGTGACAGCAGAGATGGGAACGACAGGGTCCACCTGCCTTCACACCTACCAGTGACATGCCTGTTTCCAAGTGGGGCATGCGGGGCGGTGGGGAGGGTATCTTCATGATTTTCAGGGCTCAGCTGAAGAAAGGGGCTCCTGGCAGACAGAACAGCCTACAAGCTGAAGGGGAGGGAGTCTATTCCCCCAAATGACACACCTGCCTGACAATCTGGCCCCCCAAAAGGATCTGAAACCCACGCTTTCCGCCACCCGCTCCCTCAACTCTGCAGCTTCAGGGAGAGCAGCCATGACCAGTTCAGGATTCGGTGTTTACAAAGGTGGAGAAAATAGTAAAAAGACTGTTATACCCAATCATCTGCATCTTTTGCAACCTCCACCCCCCACCACCAAATCAGGCTTCACCTCACTTCTTCCATCAGCTCTGGGGCACAGCCCCTGGCCTGCATCTTGCCCCCATCAACCCATGATGCTTCCTTCCTGGACTTTTACAAGGCGTTCTGAGGGCCTTCTAGGGCAGGGAGGGGCCCGCCTACCTCACAGTGGTAACACTCCACGTGATAGTCTCTGTCCATGGACACGACGCGGATGGTCTCGTCTGAACCCTAGACCGAAAGAGAGCAAGAACCCGAGGCTAGCTGGGGGGCCGTCGGGCTCTGTGGCCACGGGGTGGGAGAGGGCTCCGGGGTAGCGAGACAGTGGCCTTAGAAGAGCAGGAACCGGCCGTGGATACTAACAGCGGCAGGAAAAAGGACACAGCTGGGGGTGAGGGGAAGTGAGAGGGGTGTAGGTCTACCATCTGGAACGCTGGAGTCAACCGTGAAAAGACCACCTATGGGGTCTTGTTCATCTCTTGTCGTCTAATCTGGGAGTTAGTATCAAGTCAGAGACTACTTTGCAGAAACTTCCCCCACACATCCACTGCAGCGGGAGTGCGTTCGATCCCTGGCTGGGGAGCGAAGATCTCGCATGCTGTGTGGTACAGCCAAAAAAAGAAGAAAAAAATTTTTTTAAAGAAACTGACCAAATTACAGGGACAGATAGGGTGTAAGAAGGGCACCAGGCTCAGGAAGGCTGCTAATAAGAGAGAGGCTTCTTGGTGTGGACACCACCATCTCAGAGCTGAGATTTTAGAATTTTTAAACAGGTATAAGAACAGGGCTTCCTGGGTAGCCCAGCTGATAGAGAAACCACTTAGAATGCAGTAGACCCCAGTTCAATCCCTGGGTCGGGAAGTTCCCATGGAGAAGGGGTAGGCTACCCACTCCAGTCTTCTTAGGCTTCCCAGGTGAATCAGATGGTAAAGAATCTGCCTGCAATGCAGGACACCTGGGTTCTGTCCCTGGGTTGGAAAGATCCCCTGGGGAAGGGCATGGCAACCCACTCCAGTATTCTGGCCTGGAGAATCCCCATGGGCAGAGGAGCCTGGCGGGCTACAGTCCATGGGGTTGCAAAGAGTTGGACATGACTGAAGTGACTTAGCACAGCACAGCTCGAGAACAGGACACAGATCTTGTAAACGACCCAGGGAGATATGTCTTGGAAGACCCCAGGAGCAGAGCTGAGAAAGCATCTTACCTCAGGAGGAAGGATGGGAAGGCCACAGGCTGCACACTTGGGGGCCAACACTCTGTGGGGAGAAGCAGAGAGCAGTCGGGCTCGCCCCACCTCCCGCCCGTCCCACGTCACATGAACCCCTTTATGAAGACGGACCCGGAACACTCTTGAGACTACTGATTTCGGCTTGTTCCCCAGCGGTAACAGGCGCACGTGGCCCCCTCGCTCCACTGGGGGTGGAGACTGGCCTGTCTGTTTACCCCCACTCACGGTGTCTGGTGAAGCCTCATGCAAACTGGGAGTGTGGAGGCCAGCCCTGAATCGGCGCCTGTTGAAGTCTGGTAAGGCTGGAACCACAGGGCCTGGCAGACTCCTCTAGAGGCCTAGCCAGGCATCCAGTTATAGGTTTCTTTGGTCCTGTTTTCCCAGTAAACATAATTCTTTAACCAGTTCCTGTCTGCATCGGCATCCACTGACCCCGAGGCCTGGGCTGCACCCCTCCAAACCACTGCACATTGGCTGCACCGTGGCCAGCGGTGCAAACAGCCTGCAGACATGCCTCCCCGGGTTCCCCGCCCTCCACTCTGCAGGGCTGCAGCCAGCGTGGGGCGTGAGCGGCTCTTCCCACCCCGACCCTCCTTACTTGTGGTAATCCCGGACACAGTAGATCTTGTTCTCTGAGTCCACTGTGAAGGGTACCCCGTCCAAACACTCATTACAGATGACGCAGCGGAAGCAGCCGGGGTGGTAGGACTTCCCCAGGGCCTGCAGGATCTGGGGGCACAAAAGGAAGAGGCCAGGACTCAGCAGGGATTATAGGGAAGGAAGGGAGAGACACATCAGACCAAGGGACCATATGGGAAACTGTCACCCGCAAACCAGTCCATCCTAAAGGAAATCAGCCCTGAATACTCGTTAGAGGACCGATGCTGAAGCTGAAGCTCCAACACTTTGGTCACCTGATGGGAAGAGCTGACTCACTGGAAAAGACCCTGATGCTGGGAAAGACTGAAGGCAAAAGGAAAAGGTGGTGGCAAAGGATGAGACAGTTAGATAGCATCACCGATTCAACGGACATAAATTTAAGTAAACACCGGGAGATAGTGGCGGACAGAGGAGGCTGGTGTGCTGAAGTCCACGGGGTTGAAAAGAGTAGGATAGGACTTAGCAACTGAACAACACTCATCCCAGTTTCACATGGACCAAGTCAAAAGATGATGACAGACTTCCCTGGTGGTCCAGTGGTTAAGACTTCACTTTCCAATGCAAGGGGTATGGGTTCAATCCCTGGCTGGGGAGCTAGGATCCCACATGCCTTCAGGCCAGAAAACCAAAACACAAAACATAAAATGGAAGCCATATTGTAACAAATTTCATAAAGACTTAAAAATGGTCCACATCAAAACAATTTAAAAAAAAAAAAAAAGAGAGAGATGATGAGGCAGGAAAGGCTAACCAAGTAACAGGCATAAACAGGAAGAAACCCAACGGGATCCTTCTCCAGCACTTATAAATCTCCAGCAGGGAGGGTTCTCTATCAAAACCCATGATTCTCTGTACAAAATGATGTAAAGCAAGGCCATGAAAAGACCCACCCCAGATTTGAGAAGCGTCTAGTACAAGGAAAGACAAAAGTTAACTCCATGAGGAAACAGCAGAGCTCAGAAAAAAACCTCTTAACTTCTCCCTCCTGAGTGCCCCTTCTAAGCAGCTTTGTCTCTGCAGCAGTTATAATCCAGAAGCGTGACTCTTATCTCAAATCCAAGTGTAAGTAAAGCCTCTTTGTTATTGCTGCTTTTAAACACAGCCAAGAGAAAGCCCCAGGGACCTTCTTCCTCTAGGCATCATTTGATCTGGATGTGGTTGCTACCTGGGACTGTTAGAAGCCATCCTGAAACCAGGACAGAGCCTAGACTCAGAAGGTGGGAGAGAAATGAACATCCTCAGTGAGGGAGATAAGTCGCCAAATTAACTCTCCACCGAACTGCCTACCCCCCAGCCTCTTAGGTAAGATAGAACACTTTTGCTGTCAAGTTCAATGGTTCTCAAAGTTTGCCTCTGGACCTGCAACATCAGCACCCTTTGGGAACTTAATTAAAATGCAGGTTCTTGGGCCCTGCCCAGCAACGGGTGTTTTAACACAGTGATTCTGACACAGGTGAAAGTTTGGGAACCACCAGCTTCTCAAACTTGAGCTGAGTTTCTGTGATTTGCTGCTCAAAGTACCTCCAATAATTCAGCAGCAGATTCGTTTCTGGGATTACCTGCACCATGACACTCAGCACAACCAACACAACCGTGGAATCAACGCCAGCGAGCCTGCACCAAAATGCCCGTTGGTGAGGAACGTACAAAGCAGTCATGAGCATCCCCAAGTAGGACCACACAGAAAGCCTCCCACCAGGCAGAAGGCGACTTGGAACTAAACAGAACCTCGGCAGAGGGTCGTGAGTTCCGTGGGAAAGCTGTGCTGGGCCCTGGCTCCCTCCAGCGCCCGACGCCATCTGAGAGGCCAACACCACACCTCACAGCTTGCAGTCCAGGGGGCACCAGAAGGATGTGGTACTAGTCCAGCTCTCCTCAGAAAGCTCAGCTTTCAAGCTTCCTCATTCCCTCTGGGATTTCACTAACCTCCCAGCCTCCTCAAGCTGCCAAAGTAGGAGGAACAAGCAGCTGGGCTTCAAAGACTCCTTGGCAAGCTGGACCTTGGAACGCATTTTGTCCCAGTCTAACGCTGTCGTGGCAGAAACAGACCCTTAATTTAACCCACACTGTGCCAGAGGGTAATGATGCCATTTTGCTGCATTCTGACTAGCTATAATAACTTTTTTTCAGGTGGGAAATGCCCAGTTCCAACCTCCAAGCCCAGAGTATTTCCCTCAATGAACAAAGATGGAGCAGAGACATACAGTTTACATCACCAGCTAGACAACCGAATTGTAACTGAAGGAATGGTAACTGAAAGAATCTTTCTCTATATTGTTATGATTCTTAGTGGCAATCATGAGTTCTATTGTTAAAACTAAGTGTCACTATTAGACAGACATTGGCTGAAAGTTTTCAAGTCTGAGAGCAAACTAAGTGTCACTATCAGACAGACATTGGCTGAAAGTTTTCAAGTCTGAGAGCAGACCTATAAGAATCCAGGGGCGATTTGGCTTTATCCCACAGGGTAGAGAAAGTCTCCAAACTTAGTTCCTTTCCTTCCTGTACGCACAGGCCGATCCTTATGCCTTTCAACCGGGAGTGGCTTTGTAACTTTATTTGATCAACAGAATGAGGAAGGGGGACTTTCCCTAGCAGTTTGGTGGTTAAGACTCCAAGCTATCAATTCCGGGGGCACGAGTTTGATCCCTGGTCAAGGAACTAAGATCCCATATGTCCATCAGCATAGCCAAAAAAAAAAAGAATGAGAAAGAAATGATGCTCTGAGATTTTTTTAAGTCAATAATGAATGAAAACTGGTAGCTTCCACTTCCTCTCTCTTGTTGAAAGGAAGCCAGGCTAGACTATTGAGTAAGATTAGTGGCCACGGGGAAAGAAGCTGGGAGGGTGAGAGGTCACCTTGTGTACCAGTTCAACACAGCTGAGGAAGTGACCCCAGCCATTGCCACATGGAGCAGAAGAACGACTCTGTCGAGCCTTGACCTAATTCTTCACACATGGAATCATGATCAATAATATTCATGTAGCAATAGATAAGGGCTTCCCAGGTGGCTTAGTGGTAAAGAATCCACCTACCAATGCAGGGGACATGGGTTCAATCCCCTGGGTGGGAAGATCCCCTAGAGTCGTAAATGGCAACCCACTCCAGCATTCTAGCCTGGAAAATCCCACGGACAGAGGAACCCGGCGGCCTACAGTCCACGGGGTGGCAAAGAGTCGGACACAACTGAGCGACTGAGCACACACACAGCAATAGATTAATGAAACACCCTGAGGCCCAGAGAAGGCTTAGTATATTGAGAAATAAGAACAGGGTAGTCGTGTTCATAAATTTGGACACTGTTGGCCTCAAATACGGTAGGTTTGTCAGAAGGGCTCTAAAATCAAGGGTAAAGTCTGCTAGAGAAAAGGAGCCCTGTGGAGTTGGGCAGGGACCTGGGGAAGGTGGGAGTGAGGCAGGCTCCACCTGCCTCCTCCAGGGGGATGGCTGGAGGCCCGTGTTCCGAGGGAGGCCTCAGCCGCTTATGAGGACACCGCTCACGGGGCCTCACTGTGCTGAGCTGCGTCAGAGCCCGGAGCGCAGTAGGGTCTCCTCCGCTCTGGTTCTGTTTTTCACCTGTCAGCATAAAACCAGCTTATGTCCATCAAAGACATGCCTACGAGTGTTCATGGCAGCTCAGTCATAAATGGCCCAAAACTGGAAGACACCCAAATCCCCATCTGCAGGAGAATGGATAAATAAATGGTGCTATATCCACACAGTGAAATTCTACTTAGCGATGAGAAGAAATGAACTTACAACACACACAACAACATGGATGAATCTCCAAAACATTTTCTAAGTGAGAAAAGGCAGATCAAAGGAGTCTATACTGTATGATTCTACAGTACGGAGTTCCAGGACCAGTGAAACAAGTCTGGGGCCACAGAGGTCAGAATGGTGGGTGTCTTTCTGGATATAGAAAATATTCTAGATCTTGATCTGTATGGTGTTAACATAGGTATAGTGGTAAAGAACCAACCTGACAATGCAGAAGATGCAGGAGACAGGGGTTAGATCCCTGGGTGGGGAAGATCCCCTGGAGATGGAAATGGCACCCAATTCCAGTATCCTTGCCTGGGAAAGCCCATGGACAGAGGAGCCTGGTGGGCTACAGTCCATGGCGTCACAAAGACACAAATGAGCGGCTGAGCACACTGACGCATAAACATTCATTCAGCTGTGCGTGTAAGACGGGCACCCTCTGGGGTGTTTCTCAATAAAAAATGGTAAAAAAAATACAACTAGCAATTCCCTTTGCCAGGATAGAATCAATGGCTCAGCTTAGACAGGGGTTTAACTCTCGCAATGAAACGAATGGGATATAATGATTCTCTCTGACCAATATATGAAAGAAATCTGACAGGGCCGATGTCCAGTGGTGGACAATTTGATCCATAGACAGAATAAGAACCCTGTATTCATAAACCTCACAACCTGAGGAGGACAGGAAGGAAGACCTGTCCCCATTCAGAACAAGCTCAGAGAGCTACGGCTGAGCGAGGAATGGAGTGGATAAAACCTGCTCCCTGTTCTGCTATCTCAGAACTAACGATAGGGCCCCACCCTCATCTTAGGAAATGATTCAGCTGGGAAGAACATGGGGGGAAAGCAACTGTGTTTATCTGATTCCAAAGCAGCTAAGATTTCTCCATGAAAACACAATGTTTGACATCTCACCTGGGATGCCACAAAGATCAGAGAAAATCAGAGAGGCTGGCATGACGTGAACAGCCCAGAGGAGGAGCACACCCTCAGAAATGACCCTGTATGGACTGCATGGTGAAGGATGCAAATTCCAAAAAAAGCCAAATGTGGGGCTACTACAGCAAGCAAGCTGCATGGGGTCTTCAAAACCTACCATAGGGACTTCCCTGGTGGTCCAGTGGTTAAGAATCGCCTCCCAGTGCAGGGGACACGGGTTCGATCCCTGGCCTGGGGAAGACTCCACATGTTGCGGGGCAACCAAGCTTAGGAGCCGCAACTGCTGAAGCCCATGTACCTAGGCCTGTGCTCCAAAACAGGAGAAGCCTCTGCAGTGAGAAGCCCACGCATCACAACTAGACAGAAGGCCCCACTTGCCGCAACTAGAGAGAAGCCCGCACAGAGACGGAGACCCAGCTGAGCCATAAATAAATAAAAATAAAACCAGCCATGATCACAAATCAAGGTAGGAAACATTGTTTTCAATTATTAATTTATGTTTTTCTGTCAATGCCTCCCCCCACACACACCATGTTATCAATATCACCTTGTTCGCCTGACGCTACTCACCATGTCCATGATCAGATGTCCACAGAGGAAACACCTGTCCGCGGACTGCTGGAAACCAGAGTACTGCAGAGAAAAGAGGAAAGAAAGTTCAGCCCAAGCGGGGCAGAGGAATCTAGCTACTTCCCCTCCAGCCTCGAGGATCACAAAGAATGTCTTAGAGAGACGTGTCACTCTATTCAGGAATCTGTCGTGTCTCTGTGGACAACAGTGTGGTGAATTACAGAATACCCTCCGCCACAAGAGCCATTACAAATGCTAATACCGCTCATCTCTCAACAGTTGCACCCAGGCATCCATGACAGGCCAGGCTCTGCATAGGAGGCTGTGCAGAGAGAGGCATTAGCCTCTAATCCAGTGGTTCCCAAGACACGTTCCCTGGCATCACCTGAGAACTTGTCAGAGTGCAAGTTCTTAGGCTCCATCCCTGACCTACTGAATTGGAAAATTGGAAACTAGGAGCAGGGGATGGAGGGGTAGCGGCAATCTGGGTTTTTGCAAGCCCTCCAGGGAATTCTGATGCATGCTCAAGTTTGAGACCGCTGCTCTACATTTTCAAAACAATTCTGCAAGGTATGTATTACACTGTTTCTCAAATGGAAACAAAGGGAAGCTCAGAGAGGTTAAGTTGCTTTCTCAGGGTCACAGAGCCTATCAGAGGTAAAGATGGGATTCAAATTCAAGTCTGGGTCTGGTTAAAAAGCCAGTGCCTTGATGGAAGCATATATATCACCATAGGCAAAATAGATAGCCAATGGAAATTTGCTGTATGTCAGGGAACTCAAACTGGGGTTCTGTAACAACTTAGAGGGGTGGGAAAGGGTGGGAGGGGGGAGGGAGGTTCAAGAGAGAGGGGACCTGTGCACACCTGTAACCAATTCATGTTGATGTATGGCAGAAATCAAACCAGTATTGTAAAGCAATTATCCATCAATTAAAAATAAATAATTCTTTAAAAGCCAATGCCTTTTACAATCAGCTTCAAAGAAACTGGATAAATATTATTTACCTTATCTTACCAAAAAACACACACACACAGAGCTGGAATCTGGAAAGAAATGAGGCACTCACCTCAGAAAACAGACTAAACACTACACACTAGAAGATACTAGAAGCTTAGATATTACAAATACAACTTAATAAAGGAAATGTAATAGAAAGGTTGACTCATTGGAAAAGACTCTGATGCTGGCAGGGATTGGGGGCAGGAGGAAAAGGGGATGACAGAGGATGAGATGGCTGGATGGCATCACCGACTCGATGGACATGAGTCTGAGTAAACTCCGGGAGTTGGTGATGGACAGGGAGGCCTGGTGTGCTGCGATTCATGGGGTCGCAAAGAGTCAGACACGACTGAGTGGCTGAACTGAACTGAATAGAAAGGAAGGTGGAAAAGAAAAGGGAAATTTTCTGGAGCCTTACACCACATAGTACAGGGTTTGCTGCCCGGCACTTCTTCCTGATTCTCGGGTAACAGTTCTTCACTTTTTAATTGTATTTACTTTTATTTTTGGCTGTGTTGGGTCTTCCTTTCTGCATGTGGACTTTCTCTAGTCACAGCAAGCGGGGGTCACTCTCTAGCTGCGGTGCACGGCTTCTCACTGCGGTGACTTCTGTTACTGTGAAGCATGGGCTCTAGGCATGTAGGCGTCAGCAGTTGTAGCTCCCGGGCCCTAGGGCAAAGGCTTGGTTGTGGTGCACCGACTTACCTGCCCTGTGCTATGTGGGACCCGGACCAGAGAAGTTATTTTTGCTGTGGTCCCATGATTTCTGTGGGGCTGGCCCCCCATGCTAGGTTCCGAGGCAAGGACCTGGTCAATCAGAGCCTTGCATGCCTCCAGCACCCGTGACTTTGCCCAGGGGTGAGCAGATGACTCACCCAGAGCCCATGGGACTCTAGGAGCGGGATAGGCACTCAGCCCATCAGATCTGAAGCTGGGAGACAGTCAACTCTGCTATGGCACCACCATCTGACTATCACATCACAGTGCCAGTGACTAAAGCTGAGCAGTGGGAGGAAACGACCCCTTGGGGGCATGCAGGAATTGGTTTCCTTGGTTTTGCTTGTCTGTTACTAGCAAACATGAGTCATCTTGAGTCAACCCACACGTCCATGAAGAAGCTGGTCCTGAGCCATCTCTGGGTCTCACACTGGTCATCCTAGTGACCGGGCATGGCTCCTTGCTGGCGCTGTGTTAAGGTCTGAAGATGTAAAGGTGAACCAGCATGTTCCTCCCACCCTAGGAGCTTTCGGTCAAGTCAGGGGAAGACTTGTAAATGGACAGGCAGGGCGCTAACCGCTGGCCAGAAAAGGCCAAGGGCGGCAGCACAGAGGAGGGGTGCCCCACTTTGAGGTCCCGGGGAACAGGCAGGCTGTCGGGGGATCTGGGAAACAAAGAGAGAAAGTATTGCAGGCAGCGGACACAGCATAGGCTCCGGCACACGGGGTGGGACGTGGGCGTGCAGAGAAGCCCAAGCCCCGGAGTGAGTGAGACGCAGCGAGGGAGGCGGCCCAGCGCGCAGGGGGCTTCCGCGCATGCGCCCAGCCCTGTCGCCCGGCCTGGGCGCCGAGGCCGTGCAGCTGGGTGCGGGCGGCGGAGCCACAGGGCCGGGGGCGACGCGGTGGCACCAGTGCCTGGCCACGCTCTAGGAGGGAGAGGAAGGCGGCGGGGTGCGGGAGGACGCTGGGGCCCTGTTCTCGGAGACTCAGGCCCTGCCAGCGGTGCGGCCTCCAGGGGGCGCTGGGGGGCGCCGCAGAGTTAAACCACCTTCTGCCAGGCCTGCTTGGGTGACAAACTCACCAGGAAGTCTTCCTCGCAGAACACTTTGCCATTGACGAAATAAAAGGCTTTTCCTCTCAGCTTCCGGCCTAAGGAGAAAGCACAAAGGCAGGGTAAGAAGAAAATGTTCATAGGCGGTGGAAAAGGAGACAAGAAGGGCAAAATCTTGTAAAGCAGAAATAATCATGCCAAAAACAATGCCAACTGTTAGTTTCTGGTTTCTGGAAGGTGACGTGGCCCTTGGTAATGGGCAGACTCAGGCCAGAAGACAGGGTTCCCTGATGGGTGCCGCCTGGCAGGCTGACTTGGGAACCATCCGATACCTACTTCCCGCACCTCCTCTCTGCTGAGAAAGAAGATGTCGGGGGACATGTCGGGGAAACAGGCAACAGTCTCCTGTGAAGCTGCCATTTCCCACAGGATTGTGACCCTCACCTCTGACACCTTCTCCAGGAAAGGCTGTAGACAACCTGTCAGGAAAGTCCTATAAACTGGTCAGCTCTTATTTTCCTTACTTTCACGTCTTTTCTCATCTGAACGACAGAAAACACACGCTGTTGAAAAGGTGACGAAGTTTCCTATTTTCTCTTGATCTTGGTGGGGTGGGCGGGAGTGGGAAAAATTCAAAACACCCTGACTGCTCAGATGTAACTTTAGTTTCCAGAGAGCTAGGGTGGTGACAAGAAGAGCACTCTTTTATCAATTCTTTGGACCTGTTTTGAAAAAACACCTGTCAAGGTAAGTGGGAGCATCTCTGTGGGAGACCCTAGGTCTGTATTCAGCAGCAACCCCAAATCGAGAATATTTCCAAGGACACACACAAAACACATCCAACAGACTCTGTGGAAGTTTCAGAAGCTGAATGAATTCTAAACACTAGTGGAATCAAGACCCTTGGGCCTAAAGTCCACCTGAAACCAAAATCACCAATGTCAAAGACACTAACGGTGCTCGAGACACACAGAAATCCCCCCATACACGATGGGTGTCCTTGCTTGTGACACCCCAGAGCAGCCAAACAGCACAAGGAAACCAGGGGGAGGGCTAATGAGGACTCCTCAGAGCTCAGAGAGGACTCCGAAAGCATCAACAGAGGGGAAACACCGCAAAAAGGGAAATAAACCCAACTACAAAAGCAAACCTCCAAACAGACTAAAGACCTCAGACTTTCTGTGAAACACAAAAGCCATTGTGTTAGAAAATACGGGTGACTGTCTTTGACTTTGGCGAGGTAAGGATTTCCGTCCACTTACCTTCCACTAGTAATGGGCTTCCCTAGTAGCTCAGTTGGTAAAGAATCTGCCTGCAATGCAGGAGACCCCGGTTCGATTCCTGGCTCGGGAAGATCCCCTGGAGAAGGGATAGGCTACTCACTGCAGTATTCTTGGGCTTCTCTGGTGGCTCAGCTGGTAAAGAATCCACCTGCGATGTGGGAGACCTAGGATTGATCCCTGAGTTGGGAAGATCCTGTGGAGAAGGGAACAGCTACTCCACATCAGTATTCTGGCCTGGAGAATCCCATGGACTGTATAGTCCATGGGGTCGCAGAGAGACGGACACAACTGAGCGACTTTCACTTTCATAGTAAGCTCATCAGGAAGGCCCTGATCCTCTCCCGGCCTCATCAGACCCTTTGTGCGGTGTTAGCTGGAGCTGCCAGATTCACTGATATCTCACTGTCGCCCCAACCCTCTGATTGGTTCCTCTAGAACGGTTTAATGCTCTGGGCATGTGCTACGTTCCCTGAGGATCTAACTGTAATTTTAACTCAGCCTTGGGCTGAGAGGGCTTGGTAATCGTCTAACTGAGGGCAATAAATTGAATAGAAGGAAAGCAAGTCAGGGATGAGAAGATGGCTACAACATAGCATTAGTATCTAAAACGCATAAAGAACATCAATAATCCTGAGAAAAAGACAACTGTGTGTGTGTTTGTATACCTAGACAGGGATAAACATGCAGACTTATATGACTGCAAAAATAAGTGTATGCTCATACATACATGTAAACCAAATGTCAACAGTCTCCTCTGAGTAAAGGAAATGGTGATTTTTATTAGTTTTTTTCCCCTCCTGCAATCACTACGTGTATTACTTTTATTGCCTGAACAACAAACTTTAATGGAGTGAGAGTGTGAAGGGCAATGGAGCATATGTTAGAAGTCTTTAGCTCTCCAAACTTTCCTTCTGTCCTCCCCTCAGAGTTGTTCTAGGAGGTTCTCATTATAGAACCTTCACAAGCACTTCCCAACTAAACTAGAGGAAAGAATGAGTACCTACAGCTCAGTCATTTTGGGGTCCCTAACAGAATCCTCTGACATCCACAGAAGTTTGATTTAATAATGCTACTGACTTACAGTTCTCCCCCTCCATAAAAAGATTCCAGAGGACTCAGAGTTTCAGAAAGGAAAGTGAGAACTAACAAGAGTGTCTTCTCCACGTGCCCCGACCAGGCTCAGGGTGAGAACCAGCGTGCTGCTTCCCTACAGCCAAGGCAACACGAAGGGCCCACCGTTAAGAGGAGCTGCCCAGACGTGCAGGGAAACAGTCTCTCCCGCCACACACACGGTCTGGCTGCAAGTCTGTGGCGCGCCCCGGCTCTGCTGCTCCCATCTGGGGTGTCCCAACCAGGAAGAACCGGTGCTGATAAGACCCGAGGAAGCAAGGCTGCAGCTGTGAAGGAGGTCACTAGAGGGAGCAAGCAGTCTGCCTGGAAACGCACAGGACTTCCCAGAGAGAGAGAAAGCTTCTGAGCCAAGGTGTGGAGAACACCCAGCTCTTCTCTTGGAATGGGATCCGGGACGTTCTAAGGAATCTTGGCAGGAATTAGCTTTTTGATTTAATAGAGGGTAGATCACCTCTCTTCCAAAAATCACAAAGGAAAAGGATCACACACACCAAACTCAAACCCTGTAGCATTCTAAGAAAGATAAACGAGAGCTGTTTCACATATGATAACAAAGATTTTTTTAAACAATCACATCTGTCTGTGATGGCCGTCAGTGCATATTTCTGTAAGCTACAGAGAAGAGTGTAAAATGATAAGCTCACCCTGGAGAAGAAACTCTTAAAGTATTTATCTCTGACTCAGTGGGGCTGTCTGGGACTTAGCTCAGGGAAATGAATCAGAAATATGAATAAATGTTCACTTGGATCCAAACTGGCAGCCTTAGAGGAAGTGATCACATAAAGCAGAGTACATTTAAATGTAACCTGTAGCCGTTTAAAATACCCTTCAAATAAGTGTTTCAGTGGATGAGAAAATGCTTTACTATAGGAGGATACTCAAATTACGTGAGTAAGGGGAAAATGCAAGCTAGATACCTGCAACTCCATTTACAGCACAATTCCATTTTGGTAACCTATACCCACACACACACCACTGATGCTAAAAAAAAAAAAAAAGGAATACTGCATACTAAGTTCAGTTCAGTTCAGTCTCTCAGTCGTGTCTTGACTCTTTGCAACCCCATGAACTGCAGCACACCAGGCCTCCCTGTCCATCACCACCTCCCAGAGTCCACCCAAACCCATGTCCATTGAGTCAGTGATGCCATCCAACCGTCTCATCCTCTGTCATCCCCTTCTCCTCCTGCTCTCAATCTTTCCCAGCATCAGGGTCTTTTCAAATGAGTCAGCTCTTCGCATCAGGTAGCCAAAGTACTGGAGTTTCAGCTTCAACATCAGTCCTTCCAATGAACACCCAGGACTGATCTCCTTTAGGATGGACTGGTTGGATTTCCTTGCAGTCCAAGGGACTCTCAAGAGTCTTCTCCAACACCACAGTTCAAAAGCGTCAATTCTTCTGTGCTTAGCTTTCTTTATAGTCCAACTCTCACATCCATACGTGACTACTGGAAAAACCATAGCCTTGACTAGACAGACCTTTGTTGACAAAGTAATGCCTCTGCTTCTTAATATGCTATCTAGGTTGGTCATAAGGAGTAAGCGTCTTTTAATTTCATGGCTGCAATCACCATCTGCAGTGATTTTGGAGCCCCCAAAAATAAAGTCAGCCACCACTTCCACTGATTCCCCATCTATTTGCCATGAAGTGATGGGACCAGATGAAATGATCTTAGTTTTCTGAATGTTGAGCTTTAAGCCAACTTTTTCACTCTCCTCTTTCACTTATCAAGAGGCCCTTTAGTTCTTCACTTTCTGCCATAAGGGTGGTGTCATCTGCATATCTGAGGTTGATATTTCTCCCAGCACTCTTGATTCCAGCTTGTGCTTCCTCCAGCCCAGTGTTTCTCATGATGTACTCTGCATATAAGTTAAATAAGCAGGGTGACAATATACAGGTTTGACGTACTCCTTTCCCTATTTGAAACCAATGTGTTGTTTCATGTCCAGTTCTAACTGTTGCTTCCTGACCTGCGTACAGGTTTCTTTTTTTTTTTTTGCAGTTTTTTTTTTTTTCATTTATTTTTATTAGTTGGAGGCTAATTACTTCACAACATTTCAGTGGGTTTTGTCATACATTGACATGAATCAGCCATGGAGTTACATGTATTCCCCATCCCAATCCCCCCTCCCACCTCCTTCTCCACCCGATTCCTCTGGGTCTTCCCAGTGCACCAGGCCCGAGCACTTGTCTCATGCATACCACCTGGGCTGGTGATCTGTTTCACCCTAGATAATATACATGCTGTTCTCTCAAAACATCCCACCCTCACCTTCTCCCACAGAGTCCAAAAGTCTGTTCTGTACATCTGTGTCTCTTTTTCTGTTTTGCATATAGGGTTATCATTACCATCTTTCTAAATTCCATATATATGTTAGTATGCTGTAATGTTCTTTATCTTTCTGGCTTACTTCACTCTGTATAATGGGCTCCAATGACCCAATCAAAAAATGGGCCAAAGAACTAAACAGACATTTCTCCAAAGAAGACATACAGATGGCTAACAAACACATGAAAAGATGCTCAACATAACTCATTATCAGAGAAATGCAAATCAAAGTTACAATTTTAGATCCGATGCTGTGGGTAATACTTTGAAACCATCCTTGTGGGTCTAGCCTGGATAATTTGTTCAGCTAAAGTTTCCAAATTAGTGGAAGAGGGCAGATGTTTAGAAAAAGTTT